GATGTAGCATTCCTAAGTCTATATTAAATACTTTAGAAATATCCAGATACATGGTATGTGGCCTCTCTTTGTAATCTCATTTCAAGCCTCAGAAGTATTAGAGTGAGCCTGGCTAAGTTCATGGCACCTTGTGTTCCTGGGTCACCTGATTTTCCTGGTTTGGCTCCTAAACATGTCCTTTCTAGATATTTCATCAACACACACTTAAGTTTGGTCAAAGCTCTCCTGGCTGGGGTACACCCAGAGTACTTTAGAGTACCTTTCATGCATCAAATTTTACCCATTTTACATAGGTCAAAGTAAATTCAAAATTCCCAGGGTTCTAATTCTGTACTGTTAGTGTGTGTGTGTGTGTGTGTGTGACAGAGAGAGAGGGAGAGAGAGAGAGAGGAACAGAGAGAGAGATAGTACACATACACGTGTGTATATATATATGTGAATGTGTATGTATATATATATGTGAGTGTGTATGTATACATATGTACATACACACATGTTTAATTTTTTTATTTTGTCTTCCAAAATTGTCTCCTGTATTTTCTGAATATGAGGAGGTTGGTGTAGTGGGTACATGAGCCATATATTTGCCACTCTTGACTATTCAGTTAATAGAGTTAAGAGTTTGGAATTGAGTGAAAAATACCCTCTGCACAGCTGAAACAGACACTGTATTAGTTATCTGTTGCTCTTTAATACATTTACCTTGCTTGAACAAGGACAACTATGCATTAGCTCACAGTCTCTGAGGGCCAGCGATTCAAGAGTGCTGGCTCAGCTGCATTCTGACTCAGGACCTTCATGAGGTTGCAGTCAAGATGCCGGCCAGGGTTGTCGTCATCTGAAGGCTTGACTGGGGCTGGGAGTTCTGCTTCCAAGAAAGCTCACAGCTGACCAAGTGCTGCTGGCTGTTGGCAGGAGGACCTCAGTTTCCCTCCATGCACACTCCCCACAGGGCAACTGAGTATCTTCATAACATGGGTCTGGCTTCCTTCAGAATGTGTGGTCCTAAATGCCACTGTGGAAGCTACCATGCCATTTATGACCTAGCCTTAGGAGGCCCCTGCTGTTGTTTCTGCAGGTCAGTCCTGCTAAATAGTTAAGATACAAGGGCATGCCTCCTAGAAAGTGACCATCATCTGGAGAGGGTCATCTTGGAGGCTGGCTGCTGCAGGTGTTATAACGTCCCTGGGTAAGATGTGGCACCTGCTGACCCAAATCGGCCCTATTCAGGTGCTATTTTTGTGAACGTTTGCTTTCTTGGACTGCCCTCTGTGGACCCTGGGCCTATAGATGTTGCCTCCACCTGGTTCAACCACAGCTCCTCACTAATGCCCAAAGAATCCTTGGATTCTTGGATTTTATAATAACCACAAAAAGAGTATGTGATCACCAAATCCAGAGAGTCAAAGTCCACATGAATATGTGTACCTCTGATGCAGCATAACACACAAGTGTTTGTGCAATATTGCCCTGATGTTAACCACTGATACTTCCTCATTGAAGAACTGGCCACAGACGCTGCTCTAGAGAGCTCTGGTGGTGTGTTTGTCCTACTCCCGGTCCTCTTCACTGGTTGAACTTTGACAGCTTCTGCATCCCGCTCGATCCATTGCGTTTCTCAATTTTAATTCAGCTGACACAGTGGTTAGAAAGATTCTCTGTATTGCTGAGGATTATCTTTAAAGGACTGAGTCCTACTGACAGAATCCCATGAGCTCCATGAACTCTTTCTAGTGCTCTAGATCCTTGTGTTCTCATTCGCTCACTCACTCATGCTCTCATTCATTCAACCGTGACTGTGTGGGCATTATGTGCAGGCTGGTTTGGAGCCCTTTGTTCTTCTGTTGGCTATTGCACCATAGGTCAGACACTGCAGGGCTCAAGCTGGGCACTCTTTCATCGGGGGAGGCTCTGCTAATGGCTTCTGCAAAGCATCCTTCTACAAAGTGCCAGAGAAAGCCGCCTGCAGCACAGGGGGACCAGATTTGAGAGCCAGCTCTCACTGCAGGTGAACAAGGCTTTCTGGGCTCACTCTACCAAATGGACCCTTGGAAAGTTCCTTCCTATTATTGTGTGGCTGTCTCCTCTGTTGTTTCTGATGTTCCAACATCCTAGTTACAGACGCTCAAAAGGCTTGTGGTCTTTGTGGGACTTTGCTCCTTTCCTGATTTTTTGATCTCTTCCACAAAGGAAAGTTTTCTGGTCTTCTCCAAGAGTATATTCCTTTGGTACTTGTATATCTTGGCCTCCCAATAGAGACAGGATTCAAATCAGCTCTTTTAAAAGGGGGAGTGGCTGGTGGAATCAGGTAGTAACGTGAAGAGTCCACTGTAAGAAACTGAGGAAACAGAAAGGTGGCACAAAGCAGAAGTGAATACTCAGAAAGAGTGTGCCTCCGAGACATTCAGATGCAGGCCAGGGTGCCCCACGTGTCTTGGTTAAGAGCCCACATGAGCCCTGGTGTGTTCATGACCCAGCATTTGGGGCTGGGTACTAGAGGGGCTCCCCACTCATAAAGTTCTACATGGGGTCTAGGGACAAGGATTGTGCGATTATGTGAAAATAGATGCTCTCTGCTCAGAAAAGTGGCCTAGAGGGAGAGGGGAGGCCTCTAGAACTCGGGGGGTGATGGCAGCTTGTTCTTTCATTCAGTTAACTTAGACCTACGGAGTCAGCTCCCAGCTCAGCTGCCAGTGGGACGAAATGAGCCTCTGGGGCCATCCAGATTTGTCATTCATCAAGGTCGTCATCCCTGTGGTGATTACGAGGGTCTGCTTGGATGTGGACTCTAAGAAGTCACCATGAATTGACAAGTCAATTGTGTAGTCTTCTCCTCTGAGGGGATGGTTCGGGGAGTGAGTGTGTGTGTGTGTGTGTGTGCGTGTTTGTATGAGGGTGGTAGTGACCTGCTGGTCCAGAATCATTAGTTTCCTCCCCAGTTTGAACCCTATGGAGATGTGAGAACATCTGAGCACTGACCTTGCTCTTCTTCTGCCAATGGAAGGAGAGTTCTTTAAGCCTTCCCTGGCCCAGCTCCCAAGTCCATCTTTATGTCAAGCCCCAGAACAGTTTTTTAAGGTACTCTAATTACCTGAAGAGAGCTCTTTCAAGGGGAAAACAAATTAACTATTTAATTAATACGTGTAATTCCATGCTCACAGCAGGTGCACGGTGAAGGGGGAGGGATGGCTTTATCAGCCCAGGCCGTGGGTTCCCCTGCTACTGGTGGGCCCCGTGCATCCCATCTTTGACAGCACATGGCTCCCTGTGACCCTTTCAGGCTTTCCAATCAGAGAACCTAGTGTGAACCTAAAAGGCCTTTGGTTACCCAGCCACATAGGATGGGGAGAAGAAAACTTAACATTTTTTTGGTTGCCTGCTCTGATCTGGGCATCCAGGTAAACCCTCTTCCCCGGATCACGCCTTCTGAGCACCCCACACAGTCCGAGTCAATACGTCATTGTCCACAGGCAGCCAGCTTGATTTAGGGGCTCGGTGAGAATCTTCTACTCTGCAGAGTGAGGTGAGGAATCATTCCTGTACCCTTGTGTGCATGAATCTCACACACGACCCTAAGCCACTTCAGGACTGTTCCTCTCCCTCCCCCTACCTCATGCCCTCTGGCCCCCTCACCATCGAAGATTCATTTCTTCTTTCTCCCAGCGCTCCACAAGGACAGCCATTTTGCTGGGTGCTCACCTTCCGGTCCTATGGTGATGAGTCCCTTTCTGCCACTTGGATCCGACAGTCCCAACCTCTGTAACTTTGCACCCAAAGCCACGATGCAATCCCTGCTTTTCTTTCTTGTTTGCCTCTCTCAAGTATTATTAACTTGGAATCATTTGAAAGAGTACAGCTAGTGGGCAGAACACCTGAAGGGAATTCTGAGAGTCTGGCTGGTTTGGGCTCAGCTGCTGTGAGCTACCATGGATGCCGACTTCTGCAGGTGTTCTGGAAGCCACGCTGAGCAAAGGGCACCACATCTTCAGTATGAGTCACAGACAGGGATGTGAGCCATGCTAAAAGCTCAACTAGGGCTGGGGGTGGAGAGAGGGACTGAATTTAGGCTACCGTTTTATGGGATATGATCTCTTTTGACTTTCCCTTCCTTTCCTTCTCTGTATGTATTTCTGTATATGGAAATGTATATATGCATATGTACGTGTGTATCTAAATCTGTCTATGTATGTATGTATTTATACACATATGAATCAAATGAATCAAAATGAAATAATTCAAGCTCTGCTTTCAAAATGACATCTTTAGAATTGCTTATCAAAACATTATTGGTGGGAATGCAAGTTGGTACAGCCACTTTGGAAAACAGTATGGAGGTTCCTCAAAAAGTTAAAAATAGAGCTACCTTATGACCCAGCAATTGCACTACTGGGTATTTACCCCAAAAATACAGATGTGAAAAGAAGGGGTACAGGGACCCCAATGTTCATAGCAGCAATGTCCACAATAGCCAAACTGTGGAAGGAGCCGAGATGCCCATCAACAGATGAATGGATAAAGAAGATGTGGTCCATAGATACAATGGGATATTACTCAGCCATCAGAAATACCAACCATTTGCATTGACATGGATGGAACTGGAGGGGATTATGCTAAGTGAAATAAGTCAAGCAGAGAAAGACAATTATCATATGGTTTCACTTATATGTGGAACATAAGGAATAGCATGGAGGACATTAGGAGAAGGAAGGGAAAAATGAAGAGGGGGGAATCAGAGGGGGAGACGAACCATGAGAGACTGTGGACTCCGGGAAACAAACTGAGAGTTTCAGGGGGGGTGGGGGTGAGGATGGGCTAGCCCCGTGATGGGTATTAAGGAGGGCACGTATTGCAAGGAGCACTGGGTATTATAGGCAAACAATGAATCATGGAACACTACATCAAAAACTAATGAAGTACTGTATGGTGACTAATGTAACATAAAAAAAAAAAAACCCAATTTTTAAAACAAGGAAAATGAAAAAAAAATCCCTATTTTATAGGTACAGAGGATGTCTCCAGAGTTTGGGGGAGCTGCAATCAGGCAAAGCCCGGCGAGTCTGCACACCTGTCACCTTGCAGGATTAACCATGAGCTGGAGGTCCGGCACTGGGCACCAGGTGGAAAGCAAGCATGTGGGAAGATAGAAAAGCTCTAGAGGCAGGGTGCTCTGGCAGGTGAGCGAGATCCAGGTTTGGGTCTGAGCTCTGTCACCAGGCATGCCTGTGTGACCTTGGACACATCACTTGCCCTCTCTGGGCCTCTGTTTTCCCCTGTGTAAAATAAGTGTCCCTAAGTGACCCATGAGTTCCTTGCAGAACCAACACTCCTTGACTTATAATCATGGGGCAGTGGAATCTGAGGACTGTTGTCATGGGCCAAGTGTCATCCCAGGGGCCCAAGTATCACAGCACCGCGGAGGATGATCACGTGGCCTTGGCTCTATTCTGACATGCAGAGGTGAGGATGGCCGTGATTTGGGGCTGATACACTTGCCGAATGGATTTTCCTCATCATTTCCAAATGAGACCCAGAATGAATGGGGCTGGGGACACCCCACTAGGGTCTCTGATTCCAGTTCCTTCACTGAACAGCTCTCTGATCTTGGGCACAGAGCTATTACATTCGCCCTCGGGGGTTTCGCTAGCAGAATAGGTCTCTTGCTAGGTCGGAGTTTGGACTGCGCCTGTGGCAGCAGCTGCCTGGCGGGGTCGTTCACACCGCGACAGTGAGAACATCTCATGGATTCCAGGGTAAACGGGGATGGCCTAAGAATCCTGGCCCACGATCAACAGCAGACTGGAGCTCCGAGCCGTGGTTTAAAGGGCGTTTTATTCAACGTGGATGGAACTGGAGGGTATTATGTTGAGTGAAATAAGTCAAACAGAGAAAGACATGTATCATATGATCTCACTGATATGAGGAATTCTTAATCGCAGGAAACAAACTGAGTGTTGTTGGAGTGGGGGGTGGGGTGGGAGGGATGGGGGGACTGGGTGATAGACACTGGGGAGTGTATGTGCTCTGGTAAGCGCTGTGAATTGTGCAAGACTGTTGAATCTCAGATCTGTACCTCTGAAACAAATAATGCAATATATGTTAAGAAAAAAAAAAAGAAGAAGAAGAAGAAGAAGGTAGCGGGAGGGGAAGAATGAAGTGGGGGAAATCGGAGGGGTAGACGAACCATGAGAGACGATGGACTCTGAAAAACAAACAGGGTTCTAGAGGGGAGGGGGGTGGGAGGATGGGTTAGCCTGGTGGTGGGTATTGAGGAGGGCACATTCTGCATGGAGCACTGGGTGTTGTGCACAAACAATGAATCATGGAACACTTCATCTAAAACTAATGTTGTAATGTAAGGGGATTAACATAAGAATAAAAAAATTAAAAAAAAAATAAAGGGCGTTTTATTAATAACACCTCTTAGTGAGTGCAAAGCAGCAAATTGATTTTCCAGAAAACACTCGACTTTAGTTTCTTGGAAGTGTTTTTATAGCTTCAGAGCTATAAACATTTTTCTCTTGGATTGAAAGACTGAAGTGGGTCCACTGAGCATTCTGTGTTTTGGAAGTGTTTCCCTTGGATGGCATTCAAAGCAGCAAAATCCTCTTATACATCCCAATTTGGAAAGCCCCCGTTTTGACTATAATTGACCAAGGATTAAGTTCACATTTGTATTAAATGAGCAGGCAACTTCTCTCATTGACATATTTATAAAGCTAATATTCAAGACTTCTAATTTATATGTTTTTCACCTATGGCACTTTTGGGGTTTTTTTTTGGAATCATGGTCAAAATATAAAGATGAATAAAAATATAAAACTTTTGCTTATAATCTCACTTCTTAGAACAAAGCACTTGTATTAGTAAATTTTCTTTATTTGTAAGTGACAACCCATCTCAAGGTAGCATGTGAGGGAAGGAGGGGGAGAGAGAGAGAGAATCTATTGGCTTAAAAGACAGTAAATTTAAGTAAAACCTGAGAACAACACAGCTTCAGGCATGGCTGAATCCAGGGACCATCAGGGTGCCTTATCTTTGTCTCTTCAATGGGTTTTCTTCATGTGGTAGGCATATTAGCCACTGGTAGCTCAACCCTTATATTTGCACAGCAACCCACATGAGAAAAGGTCATCTTCTCAGATATCTCTGTTCAGCTATGTCCTATGATCCTCTCTGGCCTTCCTACTGTGGCCATGTGCATGATGTCATCTGATTGATCAGACCTGGGTGACATGTCCTCATTCATTCTACAACTCATGTCGTGTGCTTCTGTCTTTGTATCACTGTTTCCTCATTTCTAAACATAGGAGAATTTTCTTCTGGTTTGTTTCATAAGGCTGTCAATTAGGTACCTTGTTTGGTGATTGCTTTCCATCATGTGCTTGAATTTTCTGGGGCTACAGCATTGCACTACAGACGCGGGTGGGCACGGGCATGTGTGGAGGCTGTCGTAAACTCAGGCAGTCCCTGAATCTGATCCTCACCCCTTCTCCTCTCAGGATTTCCAGAGAGCTTTCTCCTTTCCTGAGATTTTTTAGTGCCTACGATTAATTGCGCCCAGAGCCCAAGGTAGAAAATTAGGTTGAGACGAAAAGCTTGGAATTTATTCTTGACAAATCGCAAAGCCTTGCAGTGTGTCTCTCGTTGGTCAAAATCCAGGGCTGGTGTGTTCAAGTGAAACATGGTGATCATTTGCATTATTTGAGTTATACTCAACATCATGCTGTTTCAATGAATGGTTTGTCTAGTACGGTGGCTGTGGTAGAAAGTGATTCTTTTTCCTCTCCAGAGATGAGGGACACCTCCCTTGCTAGGAAAGCCCCTTGAGAACTGAAACGAGTCACCATTTTCTCAGGCTATGCTGAGAGCTCAGTGAATTGGTATTAATTAAAATTCCCCTTTTTGTGAGATTTTCCTTCAAGACCCGGAAACAAATGACTGGGGGAAAAAGAGTAACATGACACCTTAAGTATTGGAAGATCTGAAATGGTTCCATCTGCGTCGTCTTACTTGGAGAGGCAGGGAGATGGGCTTGCGCTGGGTTTGTAGGTGGAGAAGCTGAGGTGTCACCTGAGTCACTTGTCCAGCGTCACAGGCTAGTTGGGGCCCAGTTGGAACCCTGACTCTTTCTCTGGGTCTCACAAGCTCAGACACAATTGTACATTTGGGGGGACTTATTTTCATATCCTCCTGAGGAAACCAGACCTCCCGTAGTCAACAGAACTTAATACCACACATCCTAAAATTTAAAAACTCACCTGGCCAAAAAGACCTTGCAGTTTTACTCACTTGAACGGGCCTCATAACCTCCCACAGATCTTCCATGTCACACTCTGAATAAATAATCACTCCCCCTGTTATCAAATGTCCTTTGACCTCTTTTCAAGAACGCATGACCAGTTTTCCCTTTCAAACAGCTCTTTGAAGTCTGTTTACGTGTGAGCACAAGGCCTTCCCTCCCCTGTGGGTCACAGAGCAATTACTGGAAGGTTGGTGGGAGGTGGTTCTTGGCTTCAGGTACACATGAGTGCATCTATGAGCAGGTTGGTGTTTAATGTTCAGGAACTGGAGCCCTTTGGTCAGAAGAAATGTGCAGGTCACCTCAAAATACAGAAAGAAAATGCAAAGCTACTCCGGTTGCAGTCAGGGAGGGAAGGCAAGAACCTGTGCCCCTGGGCACCCCCGAGGTGCATCAAGGAACCCTAGGGTTCCTCTGAGCACAGTCTGAGAACCACTGGACTGGAGGCTCTGTAAGAAGCTCTGGGTATAAGAACCTGTGAGGCCTATGGTGGGGTGTTGCTAGCAAAGACCTGCCCCTCACCAGGGCCCTCCCAGGAATAGACATTGGCCCCACATGCCAGCACATTCCTTTCCTCTCTTCACTTCCTACACACCAGCCAAGATGGTAGGTTTCAGGGGAAACAGAAGGCTATGATTTGACCCCTTTCCTCAAAGAACTTATCACTAAGCTTTCATATTAAGTGTTCCATACATGTTTGATGAATAGATGAGAGAACCTATTTGAGGTATACAGAAGCCAAAACGTATGCCTAAAGTCCGATCCTCAGTAAGAGATACATTTGACATTGCACCCAGAACATACATCCATATATATGGATGCAATTGAAAACCCGGATGTACTCCATTCTCTTTCTTACATTAAAAAAATGCCAGTAGTGACCCACTAAAGTGTTTTCATAACCTGTTAATGGGGTCCTGCTCCAGAGAATGCTGGTGAAGGTGTGCTCACTGGTCATTCCCCCGAACTCATACTGGGTTACCTTTAAGGTTCCCCTGCTACATCAAGGGTCAGCAAACTGCAGGCCCGAGGCCAAGAGCCACCTATCACCTGTTTTTGTATGGCCCGGGGCACTGGCTGAGCACCGTGAACCCAGGCTGGTGTGTCCCCCTCTACCCTGTTCCCCACTCTGTTCCCAATACCTGTTGGGCACTGTGCTTTGGGCTCCCAGTCTGGGAGCTGGAGCCTCGGTAACCTCACTTCTGGCCGCCTGAGGGCAGACAGTCGGGCTCTCCAGGAGAGGGTCTGGGTGTCATTTGGCAAAGAGGATTGACAGTGGGGGCTCAATCCCCTTCCACTCCCCCATCGCACTGATCTGGCCTACAGGTTGCTCTTCTTCCTGAGACTGTCTCCAACAGACGCACCTGGGCCCAAAATGGGCCTACCACCCAGTAGGCTTCTTGGCCCACAATGTCTGAAATATTTACTATCTAGTATTTTATAGGAAAAGTTTACCCAACACAGTGCTCTATGATGATGGGCTGTGCATGACATAATTCTATAAAAACTCATCCACTTTTTAAAGAATTAATTTTTAAAAAGATTTTATTTATTTACCTTACAGAGAGAGAGAGCGAGCAAGCAGGGGGAGGGGCAGAGAGAGAGGGAGAGAAGCAGATGCCCCACTGAGCACAGAGCCCGACATGGGGCTCAATCCCACGACACTGAGATCACGACCCAAGCCAAAATCAAGAGTTGGCTGCTTAACTGAAAGAGCCACCCAGGCACCCCAAGACTCATCCACTTTTAATAACAATAAACACTAGTATTAGCGATCACTTATTGTGGCTCAGAAAGGTTAAGTAACTTGCCCAAGGCCACACAGCTAGTAAGTGGCAGACTGGGATTTTGCAGCGATGGTTTGGCAGGAGAAGAGAAGAAACCACAGGGTTGATACCCTGCCAAGCTGCCGGTGTGTGTTGGCACCCCAGCCTCAGCTTCTCCAGGGCCCACCCTTGCCCCAGAACCGCAGGGCAGCTCTAGAGAGAGTCTAACTTAGAGAGAGTCTAACGGCTCTCCTCGTGAGCCCTCTCTGGGGTGGCTGCCAATGTTTCTTTTTAATTATCATGGTCCCGCATCAGGACACTGTGACCAGAAGCTTCTATCTGTCCGGCATTTTCTTTCCTGTGTAGCCTCCCAGATTTAGTGGCTCCTTTCTGACTTGGCTAATTCCCCTCCGGAAACTTAAGTTTCCTCTTCAGGGAGGAGACGACTGTTTTTAAGTGGTGCCCTGCTCAGTTTCTGGTGTGTCAGAGTTGACAAGCCCCCTGCCTCTTGTCCGCCCCTGGCTCATCCTCACGGAGCAGACACATCTCACTTACTGGGCATCATCCAGGAATGTGCTCTTAAGTGGATTTTCCAGAATTAGAGCTCGCTGCTCTGAGCACCCAACTTTGGAAACTTGTAACTATTTTGCACAGTCATCTTTGTAAGATAAATTACACCGCGTCTGGTGTTCTTAAGCAGAGCTCCTTGAGCACATTTAATCTTTTCCCGAAAATGTAGTAGACTCATTAAAAGCATTAGTTATTGTCAGGGCTGTGACCGAAAGGCAGTGTAAGGTGGTGAACTGCATGACTTAGAGAGATTTACATAAAACCTTGAAGTTTCTGTTTCTTTATCTGTGAAATGGGGATGATACTGTAACTGACCCGGTAG